TTTGGTCTTGAGTAAGGAGGGATCCTGGATACACTTTACCTCTGCAGCAGAGCTGGTTCTCTGTGCCCGTTCAACATTTCCTCCTCTTTGTTTCCACTCAAAGACGCAAAGCCTTAGGAACAGGTGTGCTAAATGAAGGCAAGCAATGTCCTCAGCAGGACTGTAAGAAAGGATAAGAGACTTATTCCCATAGAAGCCTGGCAAGCAAGTGCAGATGTGCTACAAAAGTACTTTGAAGGTCAACATTGTCGGCATAAGGTAGATTCTGATATTTTAGCCATGTTTTGGCAAAAACACCTGAACCTGAAATCGTACGTTGAACTGAGTGCAGGATTTCTTTTACTCTTCCTTCTTTTCCTTCAGCCTGACCAATAAAGATAAGAATTATATACTATAATTCTATGTACTTTTTTTTTTTTTTTTTTTTGAGAGATGGTGGTGGAGGTGTAAAATACAAAGCCAACCAATTTCCATCCACCACCCTGGGCCCCACACTGAGATGTACTACATAAGTGACCCTAGCATGGCAATAAGCCTCCTCAATTTATAAGTACCAGAATGTAGTCACCTTCAGAGTTACACTAACAAAGAGAAGTAATAATCACTTCTACATTTCTGAACTTTAAACAGTGGCATTTTATGACAGAAGTACAAAAAAGAAAATTCTGAGAATTCAAGTTAAACTTAAAAGTAAGTAGTGCTTCATGAGGAACCTCAAAGTGCCCTCCTCTGGCATCTGGCAATAACTGCAGGTTCTGAAATATCCAAAACCTGCAGCACTTACAGTCCAGCTACAAGAAAGTTCTTTTGACACACATTTTTGTTAAGAAATTGTCTTTATTAGCTGTACAGTAAGGTTGTGAAACTGTTCAGATACTTATATACAGTAAGAAACATTGAAGTGATCTGTTAAAAGTTAAAGTGTAATTAAACAGTTCATACTATTGGGTTTTTTTTTCAAAAACAGCATATGCTTAAGCTTTGTATTAATTTAATTGTACTATTAGTATCACATAATATTGTTATTAATTTGAAACAGTATTGACGCAAATCCTTATTTCATTACTTATTGGTTATTACTACTATTCACATTCCTTTTTATAAGATTCACCCTAGGAAACAAAATATTTTTTGTTTTAGTTAACCAAGCACAAAAAGTGTAATAGGTGAAAATTGTGTTAGAAAAACAAACCTGAACCCGCTGTTTATTTCTGGATTTGGTGTTGCAATTTAAAACACTCATTCATTGTCCCACCTTTCCTAAGTACTTTCATCAGTGTAAGATATGTAATATATTTCATTTTGTTTAATTACATATTTTGTTTCTATAGCAACTACACAGTACCTAATCTGTTTTTGTTCCTTCCTAAGCCTTTACATAGCAATTTTCTTTCATGATACAGTAGCGAAAGATAATCCTTCTTTAGAACTCTGAGTACTATCTATTCTTTCCAATATCCCTTAATTAGTATGCATTAGGATTAAAACCAATTGCAGTTGTGCTACAACTAAAAGAAACCATGCCAAAAAAAAAAATCTAACAGGATCTAGAGAGAAAATTCTAAAACTACCATTAACTTCAGCATAAATTTACTGCCACCTGCAGGCTTTCACTATCATGAGCCTCTTAAGCACAGAAGAAAGGGTACTCCCATCATCCCATGGCCACAGAGGAAAACCAAATTTCATGTTCCTACCTGGGGCAACTGATTCAGATTGATGTTATTATAGCAAAAAGAGGACTTACTAACGGTTGTCCTGTTTAATAAAATAATGACACTTTTTAAAATTTCTGTTGCCCTAGTCTAGCTAGCTTCTATTTGTAAAGAGAGTGGTGATGTCTGAAGATTTTCCTACGGAACTAACATGCTAATCAAGGACACAAGTTGTAGTGCTGCTGGCCACCTCTTAAACAGTGTGCTTCACATGTTTTTCTATTATTCAAAGGAATTACTAGATTCAAAAACATAATCCAGATCTTTAAAAAATCTAGCCAGTCAAATAACACAGTAAAAATCATATCTGTAGTTAAAACATCTGAAAACACTTTTTTAGGAAAACTTCGAGATTACTGTGTTACTGAATGGCCTGAGTCCTATATATTTATATTCTTTCATACAGATGAACCATACCAAAAGAGTAACACTGACATTTGTAAAGCTTGCAAATACCAAACATAAAGTTTACCTACAAAGTCTTTTTTTGAATTCATTACCATGTGACAATTCTTATCTCCAAAATCATATAGTATTTTTTCCTATCAGAAATTCTCTCTATCGGTGCCCAGGATAACTAGAGCTAAATTACTCATCTTACTATTATTTTTTTTAATGTTGGTGTTTGACACACACATCCCTTCATTTATCATTTACCAGTTCAATCTGTATACCTTAGTAGGAATTTCAACACTGCATGTACAGCACTGCACCTAACCTCAAGTCCTCTGCCTGCTAGCAATTCTCTCAGCTCACCTTCAGCATTCAAACTTTTCATGCAACATCTGGAAAAGTTAAATTGCTGAAGTGAGGTCCACAGGAGTGCCAGCACACTGAAACAGGAGTCAGCTCAACACATAACTTTTCAGCTTTACAGGCTGGTAGCTCCAGAAAAAAAAAAAAATTGAGTCTTAAATGCTGGAAGTCGCATCTGATCCATTGAGACCAGATTTTCCATACAGAGAAACAAAAGCATACATCATGCCATGCAAGTACATTTAGGTTGGCATTTCCAGGAAGTATCAAGCTTACTCGATACATGTTGTGATTTTGATTAAATTGTAGACTGCAAATCCTATGCTGATTTACTGCAGATGTACCATGCAGTTGACCTACGCATATGCTGCATTAACACTAAAGCACTTCCAGACACCGAGCAAGTATCAACAGTGCTACCTGGAAGTACATATCACCACAGCACCCTGTCAGCACTCCAAGGTACCTCAGGTACCAAAGGTAAAATACTGTCTGCCTGGTCTTAATTCCAACAATAACTGTGCCCCTGCCTGAGAAGAGTGTAATAAAGAACTTTCTTAGGAATGATCATGTGCCCTGAGAACGGAGCTTACATTGCCTCTTGTAAAAGGGCGTTCGGACAGGGCTGTCACATGCAGAAACAGAAGAAAGCACATCCCATTTAGCTAGCACAAGGAACAGTGGAAGGCTCCAACAAATCTGTTAACATATAGTCACACAATGGTTTGGGTGAGAACGAACTTTAAAGATCATCTAAGTTCCATTCCCTGTGCTGTGGGAAGGGACAGCTTCCACTAGACCAGGTTGCTTAAAGCCTCATATGGATAACAGCACTGATGATCTTAGCTATTTAAATGCAAGGTCTATTGAACACATACTTTCTCCCTACTACTTCACCTTGTCCTCTAAAGAAGGTCAAAAAACCCCCAAACAGTTCTTTCCACAGTAATAATTGAAGAATTTCTCCATGAGACAGGAAGCAGTATTAGTACTTCTCCCTTTTGATAAAAGCCAAAGGTTTATTTTCTTTCCATTTCAAAGAAAACAAACAAATAAAACAAAACAAAACACCACCTAGAACAAATTAACCTATTGGTGGAATGGTGGAAGACAGCATAGGTTTTAAAAATGAGAGAAAATTTTACTATTTAATCCTCTCTTACCACTTGATGGGGGTAGTGAGTTAAGTCACCCAGGTCTTGCCTTACAAATCTAAACAAAATGTTCCATGGGTTATAAATAATCAATTTTTATAGTTTTAAAACAAACACAGTATGGCCAAGTGCCAAAATCCCAGTGCATCTGGAAAGTTTAAGAGATGCTTATTACAAGATACCTAAGCTAAAGTCCACACAATATTTATGCACTGTGTTGTCAGGTTAAATCAACTGCATTTCAACTAAATATACCAGATACTTCATTGTGGGAAAGATGAACTGATCAGCTTGCTTTGCATGCTTGCCAAAAGCCAAACTGTATCTCCTCTGAAACATACTTACTGATACGGAAACCTTTTCTACACATGTACAGAAAGTTATTTTTGTCACTCAGTGCCTCTTACTCTTTATTTACTTCCCTTTTCACATACTCTATCTCACAGAATAAGTCACATATCAAACATCTTTTTCCTTTCACCACTTTGCAGATCTATTCATAAGTTAAAACAAGGCTTGAAAAGCTTTAATGTAGTAGTGTGAAAGACAAAACAGAGGGACAACAGGCTAACAATGTCTGTACTTCAAAGGACTAAAATCTGTTGAAGACACCTCTTACATTTTATGTTGAAGCAAGTAAACCATTAACTGTTCAAATATTAAAAAAGATACACAGCATGTACCAAACATGACTCGCCTAAGCATGAAACAATTAACGAATTATAAAAAAAGACCAATCACATACACAAAAGTGATTACATGTAAAAAGGAAAGCCATAGTTCATTTTCTTGTACTTCTAGAAAAGGAGCAGTTAGATCCCAGTTGTCATTTATCAATAATCCATACTGCTACAATTATTATCTGTCATGTTGATATGAATGTTTATTCTGAATTAAGAAGCCACACTCACCACGTGTCAGTCCAAACCGCAGGGCTATACAAAGCAAAGTTCTGCTTTGTACAAGGAGATCAGATTAGAAACAGCTGTAGAAACAATCAATTGCAGCTAGAGAGATGTAGAATACAGGAGACGAAAGAGGAAAGGGTGAATCACAAGAACACTTTAGGGTGCCCACTATGGCCTAAATACAAATGATTTCAAGCACATCAACAGATAAGAGGTTCTTAACAATGCTTACATCTGATTTATAAACAGCCCAGAATAAAGCTTCATGAAATGTTGGGGTTTTTTTTTAAATATTGTAAAAACAAACAATCGATACATACAAACTCTCAAAATTCAAACGAAAAAAGTGCAAGTCAAAGGTCTTTAAAAGCTTTAGGCCTTCTGAAAATTTAAAAATATTTCCCTTTAGCATTTGGTATATCAGCAATTCCAACAAGATCAGAAAATCAATAAGCAAAACAACATAGAAGATGCCTACTACCACAGATCATTTATTTATATACTAAGTTAAAAAACGCAAATATTTTATTACAAAAAGTTTATCAAACAACTGTATACATACAGTTCATATTGTTAAAAGCAAACATATCAATTGATACTTTATGTACATTTGATTAATGTCATACAATCGTAGAAAAGCATCACTCAGCAGAAACTGATTTGGCATTTGGAAAGTAGTTACCACCCTGCACTAGAAGAGACAATTAATTTACATGTTACGATAAAAATTCTCATTTGCTGTGATCACTTAAAGCAAATGGATGCTTTCTTTCTCCAAGAAGAATCATTGAAAGTGGAGATTAAAGTGCACATAACCAATGCATTAATAATTCTTCAACAATCCCATCTATCATTCTAGACGCTTGAAGCACATCACAGTAACACGAAGGATTTAGGACTTTTCTCTGTGGCTTAAAGAATAAGACTTTAAATGAAATTCATCTTCCTAAGCTGCATGAAATACTTCCAGTGTACAATAAGATGAAATGGGGTACAGAAATCTGGAAAATAGTGTTTGGTGAAAACTTCAGTGTAAATTCTCCCAGATATAGGATTTCTGGGGAAATATTTTCCTTTTGAAAAAAAATTCATTGTATTTATTTTCCTTTTGAAAAAAAAATTCATTGTATTTCATACAACTGTGGACCAAACATGCAGACCATGCAACAGCATTTACATAACCATCCTCACAGTTGTTCTTTGTGGGCTACACATAACACAGGTTGGAGCAACACTGTCTACATTACGCATAAATTTTCCTGGCAATCGAGAAAAAAAAAAACCACACCAATGATTCGTTACTATAGAATAGGGTCCGACACTAGAAAAGTGCTCTTCAAAAAACACAGCTCAAAATATTGGCTTTGTCTCATTACAAGCAATATAGTAAACCTTACAAAATATAACACAGTCAGTACTAGCAGAACTGTTGAGGACAATAATTGTAATCAATCGGTTCACTTTGGATAAAAGAATGCTTGTGCATGTTACAATCTATTCAAAAGCAACAGCTGAGCAGGCTAAATTTACATCCACAAAAGAAGCAAGACAGTCACTGAAAACAGAGTGAGTTGCTGGTAATTATAGTTATCATTTTTTGCACATCGACTGGTCACTAACAGAAAAAAAAAATCAGATTTTTTTTTTTTCATTTTACAAATATGAGAAGTTCTGAAGAGTTATACTTGAAGAGAATACTTCGTACCTTAGGCACCTTAGGACCCAATTTAGAGGCAAATTATCTGTCAACATGATTTACCCTCCCCTCAGGTTTCTGAAGGCTGTTCATATGAAGTTTACATACAGCACAACCAATACACATTAGATACTGCTGTAAATGTATATGGAATACAAAACACTATTAAATACAACTTTCACCCCATGGCACGTCAAGCATGGCAATACCACTTGTTTCATATCCAGTTAGCAGTTAGGTCAGTTGTGGTTATGCTTTATTGAATATTTTCCTTTCTGTAGTTGAGAAATATACAGCTTGGACTTGCTTCCATCCGGTCTTTTAAACCAAACTTCATCATGGTTAATTGTTGTAATTATGGCACTACACAAGATGAGGGAAGGAAGGTCAGGGGAAGAAAATCAAGAAGAATTTAGAAACCTTATAAGCTAAAAATAACCTCAAAACTGCAGCTGTATTTCTACACAGTAAATGAAATTATCCATTAATTGTAAATGCTAGGCTCAAAAGATACTGGCTCCACTTAAAGGATAGTTTCAATAGAATTTTTTGACAATTGCATGTGTCTTTAGTGAAGTTAGTTAATGTTTCAGCCATCCATCTATTTTATTTTCTTTTGAGAAAATCCTTAATGTATACAAATATTTTAAAAGAACAATAGTCACACATAGAAAACACAACATTAAACTACTCATGGTAAAAAAAACATACCTGAAATTACACTGAATATTGAGTATTTGGAAAAAAGGTAAACAGCCTGAAGCCATGATTTAAAGCACAAAATGTATTTAACTGTTAATCATTATACCAAGAACATAAGAAATAAAGTCAAAGCTGATTTAGTGAACCACTGTTATGCAAGCCCTGCTTTTATGCTCCTTGTGGTAACCTTTAATACAAATAGTAACAAAACTTCCTCCCCTAGAAGAAAAATAAATTCAAGTAGATTGATGGGGGAAAAAGAAGCACAAACATGGAGATTAAAACAGTTAATAGAATAAAGATCTTTTGCAGGCTGTGACAAAACTCCCACTAGGATACCCTTCAACCTTAGAAGGTTGCCTTTTAAGCATCAGCTTTTGGCTTTTGTCAGACACTGGACACTAAGATCTTTATTTGGCCCAGTACAACTGCTATATTCTGCTAAATTAATTCAGAATTTCTAAAATTTCAGACAGAATATATAGTTTACTAAAATATCTTCCTATTTCAGCCCTGAACAAACACCAAAATCACCCAAATTTGTTCCCCTTCACCGTACACAGGGAAGAAAAAAAATAGCCAGTTTTACAGGAAACTACTACTATATGAAATTAAAGTCAATTTTCCTAGGCAGAAATGCATATTTAATCGACACTGGGCTTAGACTGATTTGCCCCACTGAGTAAAAGGTAAGATATACATTTGATTTTAAATACGCTCATACTTCTAGAATTTACAAATGTTACCTATACAGAGAAAATACACTTACACATCTTAAACATTCAGTCAAATTTGCACTGTAATATTTAGTCTGTTCCCAGGTAGAACCTTTGTTAAGAGAAGGAAATACCGCAAAGAAGTTCCAACTCTTTTCTTTCAGAGCACTGATCAACTGAAAAGAAAGCTTATCTTCAACAATATAAAGTGTTTTTCCATAACTAATTATTTTTGGGTGGGCCAACAGATCAAATTCTCAAAGCAAGTTTCCCAATACACTAAAAAAAAAAAAAAAAATTACTCAAAGGCTATTCAGAAACTAGTATGAGCTTAAATTTTTTGTGAGATCCTAACCTGACAAACCTTCAGTGAATTCCAGCCTTTACTACCACCTCTCACAAATCCAGCTCTCAACCTTCTTTCATATTGCCTGTCTTCCAAGGTGAACTACTAAATGTTAATGAGGTGGCAGTATTTCCAAATAGGCCTTATTCTTTGATGCCATCACCCTAGCTATTGCATAATATTAATGTACAGAGCTGCATAAACTAAATAATCTTTACCTTGTAGGACATTCATCTTTCTTATCAATGCATATTGTCTGTCCTCGTCCGTACCACTCTCCATCATAGTAGAGTCTTCCTTCTTCAGATCTAGCACTATGTAGATGCTTTTCTAATTTGACAGGTGCTAAAATGATTAATAAAAGTAATTTCATATTGATTTCATAGAAATCAGTTGGATGTTTAAATACACTTTCATCAAATGAAAGTGTATTTCTGTATTCTGTAACACAGAATACACTTTTTTTTTTCCAAATGTAGTCTGTTTCTTAATAATTGCATGAAAATTGGAAGCAAGATACCTTTTTATTTTCCAGATAAATTAAAAGTTATATTTTTGTTTTCAAAATAGAGGCTATCACCTGCTTGCCTTCTATCCCTTCTCCTCTTTATTCACCATCTCCAAATATCCAGTTTCACCTAGCACTTAACATGCTTCTCACCTCAGAGCCAAATATGAGTTCCTTGCTCATGGCTCTACTTTTTTGGGGTTGCAGTATGCAGTGAAGGTGAGAATCCTTTAGAACACACCCATAAGGTCCACATGCTTTCAGTTTTCTGCCTCATTTTGTGCAAACATTGGCATAGCTTGCTAATATTAGGTGGTGTAAACCACTTTTAGAAGTTTCAGTTTTTGTTGATAATTTCTAGAATTTCTCTTAACAGAAACAACAGGAATCAAGCTAATGGTATCAGCATCTGAGAAAGGGGAACAACAAAAGCCACACCTTCCAGCTACCTCACCCCATCCTCCATCAGTATACCAGGGCTAAAATAAATATGATCTACCTAGATGCAGCTTGCACCATTGCACATAGCAAGTTCTGTCTTGTGAAACCAGACAATGTTTACTTACGTTCTGGCTTTACTCTGTGTGGCCCCAGTGTAGCCATTGCCTTAAAACATAAAAGAAAATGAAGTTAGTAAGCAAGCATAGCCTTTTTTTTTTTTTTGAACTGCCAGCTTGAACTGTGAAGTTACATGCAGTGTAGCTCAGGATACTTGTTTTAACATGCAAAAACCACAATGAGAAGAAATCTAAAAAAAAAAAGTGTGTTCAATGGTGACTTAGTAAATACATAAAAAAGCATTTTGAGGGTGAAAAAAACACCTTCTTTGGTAAGTTTGGATTTCAAATAACTCTGAAGGTTAATTTATACATTATAAGCTCAAAAATTTCCCTTCATACAAACTCCAGATGGCATATAGTACTAGAGGAGGCTTAAAAAAATGAAGCACTTGAGGTTTTTTGGCATTCATTTGGTGGTTTTCTGGTGTTTTTTTTTATTTTCAGAAAAATCATGTAAAACTACAGGAAAGAACTCAAGGCAAAGATATGTTGAGCCTTTTCCTCTCATGTGATAGAAAAAGCCAGACAAGTTCACACAGAAAGGTCACATTTTCCTTCTTGTTTAGGAAATCTGTACAAGAAAACAGGATGGAAACAAAATGGGAGACATTTCCCACCGAGTTTTTGAATCCACCTATGTAGTTTGCTACTCCATAAGTTGGGAAGCACGAGGGTACTAGGGGAAGCTTTCTGACTTCAAATGCAAGGCAAGGATAGCATTTCATTACATCAAGTTCCTTAAGTGCATTATGCACTTAAAAACTAGATTTACTTTTTCAAATACATCAATTTATCAAACAAAATTCTCTTCCTGTAAACCATGATTCTCTTGTAATCTGGGGAAAGCACAGCTTCTCACTTTACATAAAAAAAGTATAAGGAAAGGTCAAAGCATAGAAAACCTCATAGAATAAAAAAAATTTATTATGTAAAAACATACCGTATGATATACATTTTAAAATATCTTCATTTAAAGCAAAATCCTATCAGACTATCCTATTGTAGCTTCTACCCAACTGTGTTAGACTATAAGAAAGCAGATCCACTCAATACAGGCTTTAGGCTCACTTTTTCATGGAAAATTACAGACTCCCCATTTTAGAAACAACCTCTTACACCACTGTATTGGATTCCTCTAAATGACTTGGGTAGAATAAGGAAAAGTAACAATAACATACCTCAAACTGAAAGGATTAGTTGACTACTGAAAAAATAAGAATCTATTTTGTGTTTTGATTGTGTAAAAAACAGTTTCATATTTTCAAGTACCAAAAGGACTAAATGCAAACACAAACTAAACCCACAGCCACTGGCATTCATCCTTTCATCTTACCTTCCTTATTGTTGTCCAGTCTTCAAGTATATCAAGGTCTTGTAACATATAAACTATATAGGGGCGTGGAAAAGTTAGGGAAAACTCTTTTAAACAGAAATAATAAAATTACTCTCACGTTTGTAGAAACATATTAACATCTCTGTTCTTCCAATCTTTCACACAAAAAGAATACTTACATGAATTAAAAGCTCACACAAACACATCTATCTTTGAATTATGCAACCTAGAAGTAAACTTTAAAAATTATTAAAAGAGGTAAGTAATAGAATGTAGACATTCCAACTACTGGAATTCAAAATGAGGATTAGATAAACAACTAAGATACAACCATTCCATCCCTGGCAGTTGCAAAACATCATTCTTATTTGCAATAATTCAAGTTACAAATAAAATTTCCTGCAACTGAATGTGCCACTGCAAATCAGCACCTACACTAGTATCAGCTTTAATAAAATAATTATTTTTACAGCATTCTGCATCTTTGAGAGAAAAGTGCAGACAGCACCACATGTAAGAATATAAAATATCCAAAAAACAGGAAGTAGAAAGGCAAAAGCCCCTTCCTTAACCTATCAGCTGCAAAGTAAAAAATGTGTATTAGAACAATACATGAACTTCAAAACAACATTCTGTATAGCAGAACTCCTCCTTTACAACAGTCTTCACTTTTTATTTTGTTTCTCCCCAATTCATCTCTGAAAAACAAGTTTAGAAAAAAGGTGCTATGGATGTTTAAAAAATAAATTTCCTAAAATGCAATATGCAAGCTTAAAATTCCATTTGCTTTAGACAGGTCTGTACAAACTGACAAGCTCACAACTGCTTAAAAACTATAAGCAAAATAAGCAAATTAATTTACTTAATAGCTGAAAGAATTTTCAGCTTTATGAACTGCCTGAAACTGCTGGGATTTTAGAACCAATACTATGTTAGTATTTTTGGTTTGGAATATATGCTAAAATGGCAAGGTAGCTCATAATTCACAGAATCCAATGCTATTTATATGGACATCCTGAAGACAATGATGGCTGAAAGCCAAAGAAAATAAGCTTTCACACAACCTGGAACCTAAATGGCTAAAGGAATTAAGAAACTAATGAAATCACTTGTAACTGTTGATTAATACCACGTGGCTTTTAAGCAGTAGTTAAAAGATCTCTCTACTAAACTAAATCTGTGACACAACCTAATGGAAGAACAGAATTTGGGATGTGCTCCAGTAAATCAATCATGCTGAAGGAGGGTGTCCCAGCGATGACACATTTTTCACAAACTTCTTCCTTCTCATCTTCTCTTAACATTACAAAATCTTGTGAAAGGAGCAGGATTTTTTGCAGCAACTTAACAGTTAAAAAATGGCCTTTATACTGTACAATGTCAATACTTAGGAGTTGGTCTATTTTAGATAGTCTCCAGGATTCTGGACATGAGTCAACTGTGTGTGCTTGCAGCCCAGACAGCCAACTCAATCCTGGGTTCCATCAAAGGTAGAGCAGTCAGTAGCTCAAGGGAGAGGATTTTCCCCTTCTACTCCACTCTTGTGAGACCCCACCTGGAGTTCCACATGCAGCTCTGGAGTCCTCAGCATAAGAAAGAAGTGGACTTGTTGCAGCAGGTTCAGAGGAGGCCATGTAGATGACTAGGCGGCTGGAGCACCTCTCTTGTGAGGACAGGCAGAGAGTTGGGCCTGTTCAACCTGGAGAAGAGAATGCTCTAGACCCAACACTCTAGGGAGACCTCATTACAACCTTCCCAGTACCTAGAAGGGGCTTATAAAAACGAGGGAGAGTAACTTTTACACTGGCAGATAGTGATAGGACATGCGGAACAGTTTTAAACTAAATGAGTAGAGATGTAGGTTATATGTGAGGGAGGACAATGTCTTCTGCTACAAAAAGGGTTAAACATGTAAATGTTTCTGATTCATAGCATGCTCCACTATGAGAAGCAAAGCTATAGAGGAGAAGTTATTCAAGTCAGGTTATATTTTGCAAACATAATGTCTAACTTGCTTCTGCTTTTCCCCTGTAGCTCTATTTTTTTAAGATTTAGAAAAGTCAACTTATAGAAACATTCTCTACATAAAACTAGTAGTTAGATGAGAAAATCTTAATTTCAGTTTTCATAATGGAATGTGTCAACATGGTTTTTCTCATCTAAGTAGCATCTGCCATGCATAAATCAGTTTTGATAACACATTATCACTTCAACTTACTACTAATGACATAATAAAACTAGCTATAAAACTGCAAACACTATTAGAAAGAATAATGATTCCAGTAAAAGGATATCTGATACAACAACAGGCTTCTTCTTATCTGGACTAAATGGATCCTTCCTTTTCTTCCTGGACTGGAGCTCATCATTCCATAATTCTGAAAAGATATAATAAGGACATGCTAAGAATCAGAAACATTTACATGCTTAACTCTTTTTATAGCAGAAAACAATGTTCAAAAATTAAAAATAACACATTTTCTGGTGAGATGCTGTTTCTGAACAGCATGAAGCTGTTAAATGATTGTGCAGGCATAAATTAATATTCTCAAAACACAAAAGGGATGCTGATAATTACTAAACCAAAAATTGATTTAAGTTTAAATTCAATCCCCTGCCCAAACTCTACAGCTGGATAGCATTCTGGATAACCTGAAACTCACCAGACATACTATGTGTACAGTCAATTAATCAGTAGCCACCAGAAGATCAAAACAAAACAAAACAAAACAAAACAAAAACCCCCAAACTCTGAATTTCCATCCACCTGAGGTAATGTCAATGCTATGTCTGTCTTCTTCAAGTCTTCTAATCTTCTCTTCTAGTTCACTTTGTACGGTATCATACAAGAGAAGCTTCTCACTCTAAAAAAAAGCAAGATTACACATTTTTACGTTAGTAAGTTCTATCATCTAAATATATATGACAATTATAATCATCGATGTTAAGAGGCAGCATCAAAAGGTAAACATAGCTTCAGGGGAAAATTTTTCAGAGACCATAAAGCATATGGCATCTCCCTCTATCCACTTTCTTAGTGTAAGATCCTATCTCATTAAAGACAGCACACTCACTTAGCATCAGTGAAAATACAGTCATATATTTATCCAATATCAGTACCAAGAATAATTAAGTATATAAAAGCATGCAGCTAGCTCTCCAGAAAAACTGTTTACATTATGACACAGTATCTTCCTTCTGGATAGCAAAGATTTATTCACAGTGAGTAACAGTAAAGTAGGGATCTCTATGCCACCATTCCTTACAAAATCATTCATTACAAATCACAAAAGCTTTCTTGGAAAGCTTTTTATTAAGCTGCCTCCTATACTAACAAGTCTGCAGTCATTTATAGAGAATTATCATCTATGCCCACAGTATCTATAATTGTTGATTTTCATAGATCTGAAAATTACCTTCCCACAGCAGAATTTTGAACACGCCATAATCTAGATAGCTATAAAAGCAAAATTGTCTATCTTAAAGCTGTGAGAAACATTTCTAAAGCACTGCTTTAGACAAGTTAGCTAGTTGGCCTTTTTAAAAGGCCATTTCTGATCCAATTAGATTAACCTATTGCATGCCATGTTAGGTGTATCATTAGCACTTTGTATTTAAAAAGACAAACAAACCCACGCTCTGATATGAACTTTCTATAGCATTTTGTGTGAACTACACCCTCTTCACCTCAAAGTATTTCAGAATGAGAAAATCAACTCTGTGGCAACTGCTCTAATTACAGTCCACCATACAGGACTGATATACTAAAATGGCACAGTATATCTATATAGATCACTTACTCATTTAAAGGCAGCATCAAGAAAACCACTAAATTCTCTAAAACAGTAACTTGGAATTAAGCTGAGTTCCAAGCCTCCAGGAAATAAGGCCGTAAGACTTTACTGCTCTTTCATAAGCTTGCACAGTTCCAAAAGTGAATATGAGTAGGAAATACAGCTGATTGTTAGATTTTAACATTCGTTTTCACCAAGCAGTGCCTTTAACAGCTCTGGAAAACAGAGAGCTTTGACTTACTGAAAAAACAGCGTAAGCAGCACAGGCCACTGCACCTAGCTATTAGCTACCAGGCCTCTCTCAGAAGCTGCAGTTCCCTATAGCCAAATGAGCAGATGTCTGCATCTCAACTGCTCCTGCCCACAGCACAGCATACCAACAGAAATTTACCTTTATTTATGTTCAAGCTAGTATGCTGGAGTGAAGCAAAACAAATGAGCAACAGACAAAACCAAAGAACCCTGCTCCACTAAATGACTGCCATGTTTATCATTCCCTTCAAGTTAAAAGTACTAAAACTGTAAAGACCTCTTTTCATATTTTTTTTCAACATTTCCTAGGGGAATTTAAATATATACCCAAAGTGCCAAATGAGTCTTACCTGTTCTGAGATGATTTTAAAAATTCATTTCAAAATTAAATAGTGCTTATGTTTAGACATGTGCTCTGCTTCAAGTACTTGATGATAAACAAGGCGTGAAAAGCTATTACAGGCATCAGAGCCATTCTTGCTGAATGGTTACATTCTAGTGGAACATACATTCTATAAGGAGCATTGCTGACTTAAAGAGCTTTTCCCCCCAAGAGACCCTTATTGGATGGTGAATATTTGAATTCTTAAGGTTTCATAACAGACATAATAGGAAAACAAGGGACAAGGACCGCCTTAAAGAGGAACAATATATAGCCAAAAAAAATCATTCAATCACAGATTAAAGTCTTACAGGATTCTGTTCAACCTCAGGAGTATTCACAGGAGCAAAGACAGTCAGTAATGAGTAGTTCTTCATTATATCCTGTTCTTTCCCAAGGCATCAAGAAAAACGGGAAGCTTTTTAGAACTACACATGCACATTTTTGCTTTATTAGTATTGCAGGAACCACAGACTTCAGGAAAACCATGAACCACTCAGAAGAAAACACCTTTTAGCAACTCCAAGGGGGACTGAGGAGCACTATGATGAAAACCTCAGGATCTAAGCAGCTATGTACAGCACTTGACATACATGTTCTTGGGTGCTTATACTACAGTATCCAGTATTTAGATGCTTAAAATGGAATGTTTATATTCAAAGAGAGTAATATATTTTTCTTGTAACTGCTTTTGGAATGACAGGTCTATCAGTAGCTGTCCAAGGCATCTTAAAAAGACTTTTTTGGTTTTGCTATTAAAATGTAAGGTGTTTTTAGGTGTTTTTTTTATGTCAGATATTTTAATTACTTTCTTGGTAATCTTTTTATAACATGGGTAAAAAAATCATGTGGTAATCTATTAATAAGAACCTGGTAATGAAAAATAAGAAGGCTTAGCTATATATATGCAAAGCCAAACTTATAAAAAGCTCTTCAACATTTTCATTAACAACTAGGACACAGGACTGAAAGGAATACTAAGTAATTTTGCCAATGAAAGTAAATTGGGAGGAGCTGTTGGCTGCCTCGAAGGTAGAGAGGCCCTGCAGAGAGATCTCGGCAAATTAGAGGACTGGGCAATCCCCAGCCATATGAAGTTTAACAATGGCAAATGCCGGATTCTGCACCTGGGATGGGGCAACCCTGGCCATGTGCATAGATCAGCGAACAAGAGACTGGAGAGCAGTGCCGCAGAGAGGAACCTGGGGGTCCTGGTCAATGGCAAGTTGAATATAAGTCAGCAGTGCCCTGGCAGCCAGGAGGGCCAACTGTGTCCTGGAGAGCATCAGGCAAAGCACTGCCAGCGAGTCAAGGGAGGGGATTGTCCTCCTCTGCTCTGCACTGGTGTGGCCTCACCTTGAATATTGTGTGCAGTTTTGGATGCCACAATATAGGAAAGACATTAACCTACTGGAGAGCATTCAAAGGAGGGCAATGAAGATGGTGAAGGGCCTTGAGGGGAAGCCACGTGAGGAGCAGCTGAGGCCACTTGGTCTCTCCAGCCTGGAGGAGATTGAGGGGAGACCTCATTACAGTCTACAACTTCCTCATGAGAGGAAGAGGAGGGGCAGGCACTGACCTCTTCTCTGTGGTGACCAGCGACAGGACCTGAAAGAATGGCCTGAAGTTGTGTCAAGGGAGGATATTAAAAGAGATTCAGATTCAGATATTAAAGGAGGGTGGTTGGGCAGTGGAACAGGCTTCTCAGAGAAGTGGTCACAGGACCAAGCCTGACAGAGTTCAAGAAGCATTTCGATAATGCTCTCAGGCACATGGCATAATTTCTGGGGTCTCCTGAGCAGAGTCAGGAAGGTCCCCTTCCAACTCAGCATATTCTATGATTCTAAGTTATAGATGCTTTGAATAACATCTTACCTGGAGATAAATATCATATGGCAATTGCATTCAAATAGCAAATAACTGCAATAATACAAACATACACTGAATCTCAAAAGCATGACAGACAGTGAAGTTAGATGAGGTTAGCTATCAATGTGAAATAGTTGGGACAACCTCACAGTGCTGTCGAGAGGCTTGAATTTCACATTCGTACTTGTTCTTCACAGATTCCAGACAAAGCTCTCTATAGATACCTGTAATCACACAAATTATAACAATATTACTTTCTTTAGGAACTATCTAATTTCAGAATTCCCTTTTAAGACTGCCTGCAAATCCCAAAAAATGCACATAGTGGAAAATACAGATATATTAAGCAATTTTTACTCTTTAAAGAGTAAAAATAAGAACAAGCAAATCCTTAATTCTGAAGCTGTGAGAAAAAAATAAATGCTATATTAACTCCTTCCCCTGCCAGTCAACAAATTACACCAGTGGCCATGCTAACTTTACAAAATAGGTCTATTTCATATTTCTGATCAAGTTATGCTGAATATCATCAGTTTTCAAAATCAAAGACTAAATGGCCTCTTCTATTTTCTAATTAGAGATTAAAATAATGTTTTAGGGTTTTAAGATAACTAGAAAACTGAATGAAAGAAAAGGGTTTTCCAAATAATTATTTGGAAATTAATTAAATAAATTAATATAAATTAATCAAATAAATTAATAAGCTAAATAGAATATTAAATTAAACAAACGATTTATATTATTATATTACTTTATAATGCATGATCTCAATAAATTAAATTAATTAACAAGACTGTTTTATTCTTAGAAATAGTCACTTTGTGATACATTGCATACTGCTTCTAAATATTAGGAGCATTTCTTACACATTTCTGAAAATGTGTCCACTAAACAGACAGCTGAAAAAAATCTGAGGTATCTGAAATGTAGTATCTGGTAAACACAGACAGAATCCGATGTAATATGTTCAATGCATTCAACACAAAATACTTATATGGTTTCAGATTAGAAACTCAGTGAGTTAAGTTTGCACATACACTGGTGGTGTCTCGCAACACCACCAACTTCCAACAAACCAACTTCCCTTAGAATTCAACTATAAATGAACACAGCACAAGAGGAACAATACTACTACCAGCAATTCCTCTAAAAAATAAACCTGCAAGTATTATGCCAATCATCTTTCTGCTGTGAAGTCATTTTTGATCTAGAATTCAAAATGTTCTTTTCTTATGCTGCTATGTTATGCTGGATTTTTTTTATATTTATGGCCTACTGGCATATCTAGGTCACTGCTTATTTGCCTGAAAATGAACAACACAATTATGAACGGTTCTACTGTATTTCTGACTTGCTGAAATGGTCAAGATCCACATTTTGTTCAAATAGTGCCTTAAAAAGCAGCAAAACACACGTTTCTTTTCTACCACAGATGTGATTATATTCAAAGTTTAGCTAAACAGAGTTTAGTTTGGGGATTTTTCACCTTTTTCTCCCCTCTCTAAGGTAACAGTCAAGGCTCTCACATAGTAAGAGCAACTAAGTCTGTTTTGCAGTTTCTTGCTTTCTCCAGAATAATTTTATCAAATTCATTTAGTTGGGGACAAAAAGGGGAAAAAAATCTGTTTTCTATTTTCAACCTCAAGGCAACTGCAGTTTTTATGCTGTGCTTTTTTTTACGCTGGAATATGGATCTTCAGTGCTGCTGAAGACCAGTCAGGAGAACATGTAAAATGCATATCCATATCCACCTACATGAAAGCACAGATGGACAATCACATTTAAAATTGAAAATTGAAAGCCTGGATTAAAATTGCTTTTATATCAAACCTTCAGCAAGTTCACCCACAATCCTTCTGCAAAGCCCAAGTGGGCTACTTAGGACTAGTCATGTAAATTTGGGTTAAGAACTTAAAACCCAGAAATTCTGGGTCAGCAGCTGAGGAAAAACATTACAGAAAAGAGCTGGAGGGAGAGAAATGCAATAGATCAAAAGATTTCAAATTCCCAAAGTTAAAAGTACCAATAAGACATACTGAGTAGCACTGAAACAGCATTAGTATTACGAAAAGAAGGCTTGCTATTTTTCAGTTTGGCAGCACCATGTTTGTGCTAAATTTCTTAGAAAAGACAGAGAGATTATGACTGACTGCCTTTTGGCTCTCTGACAGCCTGTATTAGGTAACCCTTAGACAATGGAATTAGTCCTAAAGGAGTCAAGCTGTAACATGAGACAAATTTACAGTAGGGAAGTACAGAACTTTGTCCTTCTATAATACCACTATTCCATAATATTATATATGGATGCATACTGGAAGAATATCAAAGTTCTTGCCTTCTTCTTCTATGAGCATAAAAGCCTATCCAAACATTTGTTTTAATAACTAAAATTCAGCTTAGATCAAAGCTGCCAAGGATAAGGTTTTTCTTCTTCCCTAGGTGGAACAGGAAGATGGGAGCAGAGAAGCAGAACAGACACAGATTAGAAGAGCAGGAAAAAACATGATCCTCTAAGATGATCTGGCAAGCACTTCATGAGACAGAACATACACATCTCTTCAGTAGTGACCATCGTGTAGACGTGATCCCAAATCTTCTGACTAATAAAAATTACTAGTTTTCAACTCACTAATTGTGTACTTCCTTTTGTGTACCCAAAGACAGGCAGCTAGTAAATGAAACATTAAAAAGTCATATTTTTAGTTTGATTTATCAGGCAACTTACGCAGAGAGGTAAGCAACCTATTCATTTTTATTTGAAAAGTACTTTACATTTAAAATAATCCACAGTATTTCTAACTTTAAAACACATTTCTTTAACAATTCTAAAGAAAAGAGAAGATTGGCCTTCAATTGCATAGCAAGTTTATACTTTGAAACAGTAATACTCATTTTACATGCTTACCTGCCACCTTGGTTCGGATTTGCATATTTTCTTGTAAAGCTGCCAATGGTTCTAAATATTCAGGTGCTTTTCCAGCTATGACCTCTTGTAGTTTTGCATCCACTTGGCTTAATCTTTCTTTGTAAAGTCTTAAAAAAAATATAAATGAAAATATGTATTTTATTTTAAAGTATGTATTCATATATATTTAATTTAAAAGAAAACACAAGGTGGAAGACATATTTTTAACATAGCTATTCTTTTGTCACTTCTTTGTTAATGCTATGGAACACTGAAGCAAAGTGAAGATTTTTTAGCACTTGAATTTTTCAAGACATATTTTCATTTTGAAATATTCTATTCATGTCTATTAAGCCTTTCTGGAAAGCGAGTGTAAACAATCAGAAGTGTATGTATCTCCATCTCTAAGGAAGAAGAAAAAAAAACTGCATATTTGTTTATAGGATTGAGATGGAGTAGGATGTGAATCAACATGGAAGAGGACTCAAAAAGCTGTCCTCTACAATACGTTAGAACAAACTGGCTTATGTCATGAGAGAGAAAGATAGGCACTTTGTGGATAGAAATAACCATTCACTTTTGGTGTTCACATATCTGCTCCCATGCTACCATAAAACAAGGAAAAGGAGATGCAGGTTTCAAGCAACCCTCATTTCATCTCCTGTGAAAATTCACATATTGCATACTATCACAAATATCACAGGATGATTTCTAACTGACATCTTCCATACCTGCCAAAAGGAAGTGCATTTAAAGCATTTTTATTCTACCTGAAATTCAGTCCTCCTATAAAAGCTGATATTTACTGGCAGACAATGAAGTAACCAACATGCACTTTTTTTAGAATTTAATGTAATATCATTTGCAAACATTCCAATCTCAATACAGCTCCACCTACTGTAACTGATAAATATACTGTTCAATGTTAGACTCATCAATATAACTGACTTCTTATCTCATTTTTTACCTTGCACCCCACAATCAAAAGCTGTAAAATTAAAGTACACATGTACAAACTAAGTGTTAAGAACACATCAGATATTATCTGTTTACATAGATATAAAAGATGTCCTTGGGTCAGGGATGCTGCTTTTTTACTTATTAAAGTGCACAAGTAATTAAAAAAAAAAAAGTTTATGTATGCAAATACATCAAGACCTCCTTGAGAAATAACTGCCTGTTCATCTGCCACCAGCTTGCTCATCTTACTTTGACTATTGCTAGGTTAGATACACGTGCTTGAACTATGGAGTTATCATCAGCGATCACTCCCCTCCCTCTTACCTGCAACCTGTTAAGTGTATGATACATGCAATCTGTCCTGCAGTCAACTGACACAGCCTGCAGCTGATCAAACCCCAGTTTGCTGGGCTCAATCCCTGATAAGCATGCTATGCACGTGGTGGTTAACAGAGAGCTACAGCAGAACGATTTAGCTAGAACACAAGCCTGGATGCCGAGCACACTGGGTCAGTCACTAACATTTGACTACATAGCACTAAGTACCAGCTACGTAAGAGCGCACACTTATAGACTGGGTGCACTTGGTACCATGCAGAAGTTGATGGACTAAAACTATTTATCCAGTACTTTCAAACAGTGATTTGTCTAAAATGGATAAATGCTACCAACCACTGCAAATTCTACTTATAGCATCCAAATTCAGTTTCCCTGGAAAGGATGACGAGGCAGACCCAATCAGTACATCATCTCTGCTGCTGGTTGTGACTAAAAATCCCACTGTGTATACATTTTTTTTGTCTTTCCCAACTTCATCATCTCCCTATTCACAGCCGCTTCTCCCTACAGTCCTTTTCCCATCATTCTAATGGTCCTTTTTTATTATTCCCACCATCACTGTTCTTCCAGCCCATATAAATACCTCTCTCTCTCAACTAGTCAATGTGTCTGTGCAATGCCTTCTTCCATATACCGCTCCTCAAACACCTAAACCTCCCAAAATACTTGTTTCCTTCCTCTAAAGACCACCCTCTTTCATATTCACTCCTTAAAGGTCTGTTTCCACAAATTGTTTTCAGTCATCCAAGCTGTTGAACAGACTGAAGAGAAGGGCTGAACGCAAATGCTAACAGTTTTCCAAATGCCAAACCAGTCAGTACTGACTGGCTTCAGTACTCATCAGTTGGCTCAATTTCCCAGGTTTCTTCACGGTCAGCCGAAAAAACAGCAGGACAAACAATCTTCTCTAGACACTGCAGCAAGGAATTTCTTGTTAGGCAATTCTTTCCAGACCCTATTATTTCCAGACCTCACAGTGTCCTGTTACACAAAGCAAGTTGTATGTCTCAGTTCTGTAGTAGAAAGAAGTATCTCACAATATAAACACGCATCTAAAGTGTGAAGACTGACTGGATTTTCAATTAAAGCACATGCCCAGGAATAGACCAGGTCTTGTTAAAGTTTCACTTGCCAGGTACCTTAAGTTAGTTTCCAAATTACCACCAATTTAAACTGGAACAGATGCATTTAGCTTGTCTGGGCACACGTAAAGACAAATTTAACTTTACATACGTTCCTGGAGCTTGTCCAAAGAAGGACAATGAAGATGGTAAAGGGTCTGGAGCACAAGTCCTGTGAGCAGCAGCTGAGGGAGCTGTGGTTGTTTAGCCTGGAGAAAAGGTGGCTGTGGGGAGACGTTATTGCTTTCTACAGCTACCTGAAAGGAGATTGTAGTGAGGTGGGAGTCAGTCTGTTCTCCAAGGTAAGAAGAGACAGGACTAGGGGAAATAGTCCCAAGCTGCACCAGGGGAGGCTTAGACTGGATATTAGAAAAAACTTCTTCACTGAAAGGGTGATCAAGCATTGGAACAGGCTAGGTTGCCCAGGGAAGTGGTGGAACATCATCTCTGAAAGTGTTCAGAAAAATGTGTAGATACAGTGCTTTGAGACATGGTTTCGTGGTGGACCTGGCACTGTTAGGTCAGTGGTTTTGAATAACTGTGGCTATTAATTTCATCTCTTCTACTTAGCAGTTTTTACTGTTTATGCAGGTATTATGGCAAACTACAGAGAGGTAACAGTATATTCATTTTATTTAGTACTGGTATCTGGTTTGCAGTAACCACGAGAAACTTTCATTGGTACCAACTGTAAAAACTACTGCACTATCCTGTAAAAAAAAAAAAAAAACAAAACCCAAACCTAATTTCTTAGCAAAACAGTCCTTAAGTCTGTCCCACATACGCAAAAGAATGAGAAAGCCACTGAGTAAATAAGTAAAATCACAAATTTCCCTGAAATCACAATTCCTTGGTTCTATTAAGGAGTTTGATGCAATAGACCCACACTAGCCCTTCACAACAAAAACACTTCAAAACTATCCCTACGGCAAAAAAAGAAAATAAATACATAAAATTATTCTAAAGCAACTGCCTGCAAACAATTTCTGAAGTCCCAATCCTTATTCTCCTCCAAAAGTAGCATTCACAAATATGAAAGAAACACCAGCTGCACACAATATTTTCATGGAATGGATTGCCAAATGAGGCACTTAACCATTAAAATACTTACTGATCTTTAAGGTCTGTAAATTGCTTTTCGAGATTGGACATTTCATCTAAACACTCCATTCTTCTTCTTTCACAGTCCTCATCATCCATTTCTAAGAATAAAAAGAATAATTTTGAACAATGTAATATATAACCAAATAAACTGGATATTTTATTTCTAGTGAATGTGAAGGAAGTCTGAATTACAGCCATGAGCAGTATATCCCCTTATATTATTATTCTCGTAGAGCAGAATATGAGAAATCACTTTTCGTATGTTATGAAATAAGAAACTTAAACATAATTTTAGAATAAATCCCATAAACAGTATTTTCTTCTCAAAACAAGAAACAACATCACTGTAAGACCTCAAGAGGTTAAATTTCATGACTGATAAAACAAAGTGTACATAAGAATGCATGAAACAGAAAACCTAAACGTATATCATACCAGATGAAAGACACCATTAAGCATGAGAAATTATTAGCCACCACTGAAAATTCAAGTGTGTCCTGAGTCAGTATAAAGAAAAGCCATCCCTGGAATGCAAGTAACATTACATTTGTCATTTAAAATCCAAGGTTTGTTTTATTAAAATTCTTTTAAAAAAAATAACACATGGTTTTGAAACAGGTTTCATCCTGTGCAATTTGAAGAGATCTTTGAAGCTGAAATATAATTGTAAAAATATCTGTAGTTCATTGTAATGACCATTTGAAATGACTGCATTTCTAAAGAAACATTTCTTAAACCTGAAAAGTCTAGAACTTTGCAGAAACTTGACTTTATATGCTTTTATGCAGCAAGAGTAATTAACATTAAACTCTCCACAGCTTTTGTTTTAATTTATATTCCAGATTTTTTTTTTTTTTATTTTAGCTTGGGAAGATAAAGTATAATGAATACCAACTTTTTTGCCAAAATTTTGCCACTTCGTTGAGAAGTCTGATGTTACTGAACATAACCTGTTATCTCCACTGCCGTTTCTTTGACTAGAAAGCTGAAAAACTAAGCTACAAAATTCTTGACTGTTTCTTACCCTTCACAGAAGAAAAAAAAAAAAAAAAAAAAAAAAAAAAAAAAAAAAAAAAAAAAAAAAAAAAAAAAAAAAAAAAAAAAAAAAAAAAAAAAAAAAAAAAAAAAAAAAAAAAAAAAAAAAAAAAAAAAAAAAAAAAAAGGTTTTGTTAAGCCACAATAAAAAGTCAGATATGTGAAAGTGCTTTATAGCAGCAGTATCTGCAGGAATTAGCTCTCAACAGTTACAGTACAACTGACCCATTATCAAGCTGTAGGAAGCTTAAAGGGATGGCCATGCAGTCAGGAACTGGGGCTGAAGTGGTACAAACAGACCAGGTGTTGGAGAGAAGGCATTGTCCTAAGGAGGCCGTATCTGTGTAAGCAGTTACTCTGGCAAAAAATATCCTACCTCCTGACAGAAAGGCAAAGTGGGATCCCAAACCAACAGGCTGGACTCACTCCTCTGGACTATAAACAACTCTGAGTTTTTTGTTTCTTTCTCACTAACATTTTTCCAATAAACATATTTAACTTCTTTATGCTGTCTCCTACACCAACTATAGAATGCTGGCATGCAAGTCTTCATTCTCATTGTTTTGCAAAAGATTATGGCAATTTGTAAAGGCGATGAGGTCAAAGGAGTAGCTTCAGGGCCACTGCTACTTGGCAGGATCTGATTAACTCAGATGTCTACTCAGACCTCTCAATGTATGATGACTTCTACACTTAACTTGTTTCTGAAATCATCACAAGCTTTTAGGACTAAAAACTACACTAGCTCTCTCTGTCTGGATATGAAAACCAGCAGTCAGTAGAGCATACCAATCTGTATTACAATGGCAAGTTAACTCCAAATTAAAGACCTAGTGCAGTCTGTCATACTACAGTTAGTACAATCAAAAAAGTGTGTACAAAATTTTAAAACAAAATATAACCTGAAGTATTTGAAAGCAGAGCAAGAAAATTTAAAGACAGAATTTAAATACATTGAATGGGGAGGGTGGGGGAAGAGCGTATCAGGCTGTTAAGAGATACTATTTTATATAAAATATTGTTCTCAAAAATAAGGCAGAACCAGAATCCCAGAAAAAGGCTGGAAGTTACATTAAAGAACAAAGTTTTATTTGGCTGTTCAAATTTCTCAAAGAGTTGTCTAAAGCATTTATGTGCTATAAAAATAAAGCTTCTTTAAAATTTGAAGGCACCTCCCTGTGAAATCAAGCAGCAACAAGCACTGGGATACCAAACTATTACACCACTTTATTCTCAAACATGTGTTTCAGATGTGTACTGCTGTGCCTTTTGTTCTAGGTATGTTTTAGTAAGGAATTGACTCAGAAGCTTTTCTTAAATTAACATGGATTTTATTGTTTGTATATGTTTAAGGACTACAAAGCAAATAAAACTATTAGAACTGTAACCCTGGCTGAAGATGAGGGTTACATCCACTGTTAGAGAGGAAGGGGACCGCATTTTACATTTTAAACTTGTGTTGCAAGGAAACTGTTATGCACTGGCATCTGAGGGCACAGCTGACTCTCTTGCAGATATTGAAATAACACATAACTCTCCAGTCTCCCCTCAGCTACAAATACTCTCAAAAGTCTCTGACTTTCTGCCTAGAAGTCTACATTCTACCTATTGTTCATACTGAATGTCAGTTCACATGCTAATTCACATTCACTCTTAAATTGTTTCATCTTTATTCTGCCTCCAATAAGATTCATAAAACGATGAAGATTTTTAGAGTCCTGAAATATCTTTAATGGATATAATTTACGAACTTTCTTCCCAAAGACCTTAAACAACATACTGACTAGGGAATATGCAATGCTGAAAAAGTAAAAAGTTTTAGGATCAAATCTCACAGCTTTCCAGTCGAAAATTTACATTACCGGAGGAGGGATCGCTCATTTCATATTAAAACACTTGCTGACAGGCCCATCCTGTCTCAACACCTCAGACTTCCCATACAGTTTCATACTGCACTAATTATTTAGGGTACTTTTTTCCTACTATGTTCAAGCAGTCCAGTACAGTAACTAGGGCAGCCTGGTTTAAAGATAAAAACCCCCACATAGTACTTCAAATGTAACAGCACCTAAAATAGCTTTTTTTTTTTAATAAGCCTTGGCCTACATAAAGTGCTTAAAAAATGGCCAAATTCTCCTCTGGGATGGTAAGTATAACTTGTGGCTTTTTTTATTCATCACTAATATGCTATTCTAAATCCTGGTCAATAAAAATCTTTAGTAAATACATAATGTCAAAAGAAACAGGATAGGAAGAGTGCCAGTTCTCAAGGACAATTCATGCTTCTTTTAACAGCACCTTTTGTATTCTCAGGCATCCACTGGAGGAAAAACAAAAGACTGAATACAGGTAAAACAAAAGACAAATTTAACAACAACAAAAAAAATCATTACTAATTTCAATTAAGACCTATTTCTTGTGGTGTTAATTATCTTATGTCCGTAGGAGCAATACGCTGCCATGGAGTATGTTCATATTTGTTAAGACACTGAGACAAGCATGTAATTTCCTGTAATCATCACATTTAAAGTGCTCCCTTAAAAGCATTTCTCTGTGGAATGCAACAGAAATTATCTGGAGAGCTTCTTGTATTGTTTTAAAGAAACACTCACAGACTACATTCACTAAAACACACTTATTCCTAATCCCAGAAGAAAGCAAGATAAATACAAAACAACAGAAATATTTGCCGTCAATAAAAATCAGCCAAAGTGTCTTAGAGGACATGTAAACGTCAACATTTTCATTAAAAATACCAAATAACAGAACTACAAACAGGAAACACCAGGCAAATTTTGAAAAAGAGCTAACATCAAAGCTGGAACTAACAGAGACAATTTTCTCTTCACTACAGCCACGAAGTTGGAAAAGAAAAAGCTAAGTTTACATGTGTTATACCAAACTCTTCCACAGAAAATTACATTTTCTCAGACATAAAGATTATCTAGAATAAGAAATAAAGAAAGGGCATTCCCAGATGGCACCTAGCTACAATACAAACTGGAAGGCTAAGATGGGCAAAGTAAATAGTGGGTTTTGTTGCAATGCTGCTCCTGGACCTCTTCAAGGAGACCTTAACAACTCTGTGCCTCACCCACCTACTGCCCAATATGCTTCTATATTCCTCCTTTATCCTCTCTCTGCCTTCTCCTGAAAGATGTAACAAACTTCGTGTATCAGAACTTCTTGAAAAGCTATCTCTATGAATTTCGTATCCAAAACACAGTATTCCCTTTTGAGTTCATGTACTATTCTGATAATAATGGAACTGAAGCATGCTTTCATAAGTCACATCTGAAAGGAAAGGAGAGGGTTGCTGTGCAAACAGCACAGCATCAGGTATGCTTTTCCAACAGACCACCTCCAGTTGCTTGCCCTGGTACCCTCACTCAAGTTCACTTTTATTCCAGCATAACCACAGCAAACACGGATGCTGCCTAATTTAGGTTTCACCAAAACAAGAACATTTTTCTGGCCCTGTTTCTCAGCAGAATCATTTTGAGACAACAGGGGTAAGGAAAAACCGATCAGCCTTCCCCAGCAGCAGATCTGTAATTGTGTCAGGGGAGGTTTAGGTTGCATATTAGGAAAAGGTTCTTCACCCACAGGGTACCTGGGCACTGGAACAGGCTTCCAGGGGAAGTAAGTGGTCACAGCACCAACCCTAAGAGTCCAAGAAGCATCTGGACAATGCTATCAGGCACACGGTGTGATTCTTAGGGCTGTCGTGTGCAAGGCCAGGAGTTAGACTCAATGATCCTTCTGAGTCCCTTCCAACTCAGGATATTCTAAGGCTTTAATTTGGAGATTGGGGGCCTCAGCACTATCTACTCAGAACTACTCTTTTCTTATTTGGCCAAATCAGTAGCTAATACAGACAGAAATAAAATCACTACATTATACTAATTTTGCTGACTCTTTCAAGCCCATATCTGGATATAGTTCACAGTTCACTGAGTGAAGACATCTCCTGTGTAGCATTGCGTTAGACGAGATGCAAGATCTTCCTCAGATTAGAGAACAGCCCAAACTAAAAATCACCTGCTCCAGATGACCTCTTGTCTAAACAGATGCAAATCAATAGTCCCAAATTCACAAAACACATAGGCATCCAGTTAACTGATTTAAGTTGGATATATTTACTTATTTTCACAGAATTGCCAGTTATGCCTTCTGCTGCTATTGAGCTGCAGTCTATTTAGCCACTGGTTTACGTAGTCCCCAGTGCCTCCCATTTACATACCAGACTCTTCATGGAGATGTTTTCACTAGCCACCTTTTCAATCAGTTATTTTTCTGACACCTTAACATACACCTTAGCATACAAAGGCCAAACAAGAAAGGGGACAGGAAGGCAGAGAGTGTACCAGAAAGGGTAGGTAAGGATGAGAGGCAAGACAGTAGCAGTCAGCATTTTGATCCAGGTGGACAGCACAGACCAGCAATCTAACTTGTAAAATGGGGTTCTAGCAGCAATACTTGCCAGCTCAAAGACATAGGGGGGTGGGAAGAAGAAGGGGAAAAAGGAGAAAAATTAATAGGAAGCTCTGTTTAAACCATGGGCACATTATATGGATCTGTGGATTAACCAAGGCCTCTACTGGGGGAAATACTGTGGTGCAGAGTGAGAATTAACTCAGATCAAGGTCTAAGGGAATGACTATACTCTCCCTCAGTACTGCAGCCACACTTTCCCAGTACTGTAAGTGTCTTCATTCTACTTCTGCAGAGTGAGCTTGGCTGTGTCTGTACCACACCTGTGGGCCTTCAGCACCTTGCTAGCCCATGTACAGGCAGATGAGGACAAGCTCCATGAGTCCACACAGCACGACCATAGCAGGGCTTTCCCTGAACTGCATCAGTCAGTATGAATATAAAAGCCTTAGAATTTAACTTTCAAGATCTCCCAGATCATTCAACACTAAAATTAAGAAATAACTGTATACTGAAGACTTTAGCACACAAATAAATCAATCACAAGACTAACAGATGTAAAAATATAATTTCACAGCTCCCTAATTTGTCTAGTTCATGGCATCCCACTCCTTCCAGCACTCAGGCCACATGTCAATATGCTAGTATAGGCATGGGACAGGATCCCAGCAGGCCACTCTAAATCACTTAAGCTGCCAGAAAACACATGTCAGGACCAGGACTGGCCCTGGCCCACATTCATGTCAGGACTTCTCACAGTTCACTAGCTCTGGCCATCTTCCCTTCCATCCGCAGTCTTGCATTTCATCGCTAGTCCAGTAAGGCACCATAAACTTTTACTGGGCATCACCTGGAAAGATGTGTTGAGATCAAAGACAGAAAGAAGCTATTACAAGTAAAGTTTGAACAGATAATAACCTTTCTGTAACACATAGTAAACTGAGCATAGAAAAAGCAATTTTTTTAAAGCTAGATTTCACCTAATGTAATTCCAAATCTACAGCGCAAAAAGGAAAGGACCTTCAACGGAGCAGAGACTGAAATGACTAGCAAAGGAGGCCAATGATATTGTCAAGGCTTCCGATAGCCCTCAAAAACAGGTATTCACGTAATTGCATTTGACGAAATACATACGTATATATACGTACACACATGTGTGCATGCATGCACACGTATGTATACGTGTATATGTATGTATGTATGCCAAGCCCTTAAGTGCAGACCCCAGCGAGGACCCCGCTCAGCGGGCACGCTCTCAAACCCAGTAGGGCATAGCCTACAGCACTTCCACGGAGCGGGGCAACGCGCCCCGGCCCAAGGCCAGGTGCCAGCTAGCTCCGGAGCCGGCGGCTCGGGGCTAAGGCGGGCTCTCTGCCCCTGCGCCCCGGCCGGCGCGGCGGCCCGAGGAGGAGCTACGGGGCCGAAGCTAGGGCTGGGCTGGGCTGGGCCAGGCCGGAGGGGCGGGGTCGCGGCGGGGGTGGGCACCGGCTGCCACCGGAGCCGGGGAAAAAGACCCATGTGTCCCCGGGGCAGAGCCGGGCGCTGGGGGAACCGCCGCGGCACCCCTTCACCGGCTGCGGTACCTGAGCTATCCCCCTCCTCGGAGACGGACGAGCTCTCGGTCTCCTCCTCCTCCGAGCTGCTGCCCTCGTTCTCTCCGTAGTCCACCTCCATCTCATCGTGATTATTCTCCTTCTTCTCCCTGGAATGGACCGGCATCGTCTCCGCCGCCGCTGCGGATCCCGAGCCCGCCCTTCCCGCCGCCGCTCCGCCACCGCCACCACCGGCCGCTCCGCCCCACCCGGCACCAGCGCGCCCGCCCATTGGTCGAGCCCCGATGGCGTCTGACGTCAGCGCGCGCGCGGCGCTCTGGGCATTGTGGTCCGTCTGGAGAGGGAAGGGAGGGAGCGACCGAGGGGCGGCCGGAGCGCGGGAGGGACGGACCGACCGACCGACCGAGGGGCGGCCGGAGCGCGGGAGGGACGGACCGACCGACCGACCGAGGGGCGGCCGGAGCGCGGGGGGACGGACCGACCGACCGAGGGGCGGCCGGAGCGCGGGGGGACGGACTGACCGAGGGACGGCCGGGAGCGCGGGAGGGACGGAGCGCTCCTGGTCAGGGACCAGGCGGGCAGTGAGGGACCCCCGCGCCCCGTCCCCGTCCCGGGGTGCCCACGGGATTTCACGTCACTGAGAAAGGCTCCATCGCGGCCGTGCAAATTTCGGAGGGCTTTGCACCTGCCTGCGCCTCCCGCAGGCGAGAGGGCGGAGTCCTGCGGGGACGGGGGTTTGAGCGTGGCGCTTCCATGCCGGGGCAGCGGAGGGCCTCACGTCTCCCCGCACCACCTGCCTGGCACCCGCGCTTCTGCCCAGGAGCGCTGCATCCTGGCAAGGTGTTCTTTGTGGCTCACCACCTCCCTATCACCTTTCCCCTCGTACCCCAGAGGAGAGAGGTACCTCCCTTCCCCATTATTAGGGGGAAATTTTATGAGAGTGGTGAGGCACTGGAACAGGTCGCCCAGAGAAGTGGTGGATGGCTCCACGCTGGAAGTGTTCAAGGCCAGGTTGGATAGGGCTTTGAGCAACGTGAACTAGTGGTAGGTGTCTCTGCCCATGGCAGGGGGTTGGAACTAGAGGATCTTTAAGGTGCCTTCCAACGCAAACCATTCTGTGATTCTATGAAAAGTGGCCTCCCCACCAGAGCTTGTTTCTTCCCCAGTGTCATGTTCTGTGTTATGCTTTAAATTAAATCAGACTTAACTTGGTCCCCTAAAGCTGACACCTGTCCACGGAGAGTGGACGTGAGAAGGGACTAAACAGATATGCTGCAATTTGTGCAGGGCTGGGATAGGGTTTTTTGGCTTTCTGTTCATTTGCTAATTGCTTTTATTTGTGCTACATAAGATCTACTGAATACAAGTGATGCTTACTGGAACAACCTGTCCGAACTGTCCTCTTGCTCCGAGGGACTGATTAACTTCATCTTGGGACATATGCATTTACAAGTTTGGCAGAGATCCTCAAGAGTCCTGAATTACAGAGCTGGTTGTGGCCTGCAGGTTGGTGTGAGTGGTATCTTTGGGGCTAAAGTGATCTCGCTTGTACTGCACAGGCTCACTCAAAGTGGGCCAGCTGAAGGAGAAGTAGAGATGCACTGTGTGTCTCAGTGATGTGATGTACTGCTCCAGTGAAATTAAGGTTGTATGTGGCTGGCAGTAGCAGTTCTTCATACTGAGATCGAGATTTAGTCTCTCTCTGCACTCTGGCTGGATGTCATGGAGGCTATATTGTGAGGCAGCTAATAACTTCTGAGTTTCCCCATGGACTTCCACCTCCATTGCAACAGGTGCCCACCGTGACCACAGTAACCACCACTGTACATTAGTCACTTCTTTTCTCCCACACCTCTGTATATCCAATGAAAATAATTTCTCCCTCAAGAGGAGTGTAAGTGTGCCACCTGTTCTCAAGAAGAGAGAGAAATATTTGACAAATTAGCCACCTCTCATCCTTCAGTGTGCAAACTGTCCCTCCTGTTTCTGTTGTCTCTGGCTTTGTAGCCAGCTGGGGACCAGCAAAACCTGGCGTGCTTTCTCCACACCCATCATAATTTTCGTTATTTTTTTCATAGAGCCATAGGATGTTTTGGGTTGTAAAGGATTTAAAGATAATCTACTTCCAACGCCCCTACCGTGGGCAGGGACAGCTTCAACTAGTTCAGGTTTTTTAAAGCCATATCGAACCTGGCCTCGAACACTTTCAGGGATGGAGCATCTACAACTCCTCCGGACAACCCGTTCCAGTGCCTCGCCACCTTCACAGTAAAGAATTTGTTCCTAATACCTAATCTAAACCTACGATTTGTATAAGAACTGCATCGCACACGGAAATCCTGAGTCTCTTCGTAGATCCGCAGCAGGAGGAAGCTGCAGTTGCCGAAGAGGTTTCTCTCCGCTGTCCCGGATCCCGGGGGTCCCGCCTGCCCCTGGCGGAGGGAGGTGGCCGCGCATGCGCGGGCTGCCGGGCGGGGCCGCGGCCTGAGGGAGCTTCGCCGGAGTGGGCTCTGTCGTTGTCCCCACGTATTTCCCAGGGAACTTGTGCGACTCCGAAGCCTGGCTAAATGCTGGTTCATATGGATTAAAAATTGACAGAGGGGTCTACCAAGGAACTTCTTTTTTTTTTTTTTCTTTTTAAGCTGGTATTCTTTTGAGGTAACCTGATAAAAGTGTTTGTAGTGACGACTGACACTCAAATGGCTGAATAGAGCCTGGAAACGGCCTGAAAAAGGAGCAGGTGACATACCAAAAGAAAACCAGGGAATTTCGCAGTCTGGATCTGAAATTTCTCCTTAAGATATCCTTGGGGATTCAGGAAAAACAAAACAAAACAAAACCTAACAATCTCCAATTTAAGTATTGCCTTTTGGATTAGCAAAAATAGAAAGATTAGAAATCAAAGGCTCTGGACTAGAAAAAAAAACTACTGGAAAGTTACAGGGAGAGAAATTACAGGAAAACAGGAAACCTTTGGCTTGATTGTAATTTCCTATTCTAACAGTTGGAACTATGTCTAAAGGAGCTAAAAATAAACTTCAGAAAGAAATCAAAGTTCCCATGCCCCAGTGGAAATCAGCAACCATGATGGGGAGTTGAGCCAGAAACTTTTTTCAATAATACACAATTTTACATGCTTCTGTTCTGTTTATAGAAGGGGGGGGAGGGAGGGGGGGGATGTAAATTACCCAGCTAAAGCAATACAAACATCTACTGTCTTGAGGAGAAAAAAAGGTACTGGTTGAAGTTAACCTGACTGTCCAAATGGAGTGCTAGAAAAGCCAAGAGTAAAGGGTATTTCCAGGGGTTACATACGGTGGCACAGTGCTTGTGGCAGCTTATAATTTATTTCCAGAAGTATAAAGGTAATTCATCAGATCACCTATAAGTCCTTAACATATAAAGTGGCAACACCTATCTTTAATCAGCTCTCTAGGGGCAAATGCTAGGAGGGGGGAAAGAAGAAATTCTGTCTAGCTTACTAAAGGACTTGCAAAGATTTGTGTCTTACTATGTGTACATACCAGCTATGAATCCAGTCACCTACCAGAGAACAGTCTGTAGACTGACCATCAAGATAAGTGAAAGGGAGATTAGATGCCTACAAAGGTATGATCTTTTTTCCCTCGGTCATGACTTATACCCTTCATCAGAGTAAGATGGCCATTAAGAAGGTGATTGTCATCATCCTCATCTGTTCAGCTCCACATTTAATGGGGAAGTGGGGATTAACAGCTGGTATTTTTTGTGGTATTTCTGAACAATTAGAAAGAGAGACCGTCTGTTAATAGGGACAGTTGGCAACAATGTAAAAATTCAAAAGTGGAAATTCTGCTGAAAGCTGGTATTGAAAAAATTTGGAGGTAATAACAAATAAAATGCTGGCTAGCACAGATGGTGATATCACCTTTCCCAGTTTGGGACATCTTTAGAAAAAGCTAGGAAGCAGAGCCTAATTTTACACAACAAATTTTACACAATTTGTTGAATGGAGGCAGTGAGTGGAAACATGTATCACTTTAGAATCTGAAAAGCAGTTACTAACTTTCTGATTATCAACGTCATTGCCAGCTTTTGTTGTAGTGAGTAGTTCATAGCAACTCAGTATTTCTGACAAAGAAGAAGATTGTAAAGGGAGAAGCCAAAGATATGAGTCATTAGGATATAGGTATGATGAAACCTTCAAGGAAGAGCAGGGACGAAACAGCTTTTATCATGTGTGCAATACAGCACACATCTTAATGAGTTTTGAAATATCTTTTCATTAGGAGTCTCTCCCAGTTTGAAGATGTAATATGTCACAGGTGTGATTGGGGGGGACAGGACATCAACATATTAGCCAGAAAGAAACACTGGGGTGTTTGTGAACTCTAACAAACCAAATTATGCCATGCTTTATCAATAAGAAATGATACACTGGATACTTTATCAAATTAAATCTGATCCTTCACCCTCAATTTCAAAGTGTACTATTAGGAGGTGGGTCGCAAGAATATTGAAAAGACTGTTTTCCCTGGAGGTCAAGGCCAGCACCAAATTAAAGTAGCAGTTGCGGAGTGCAAGCTGTGAGATATGTTTGAAGGCTATCGGATCGTGTTCCTTCCTCAGCTCATGTATTATCTAGGCAAGATAGTCTGAATATGCTGAAAATTGTGTAAAGTAAGCTTGAAATTACTAATCAAAATAAACACAAACAGAGATGACCTATTTCCAAAATATTCTGTTCGCTTCTGCAGATGAGATAACAAAAGAGATCAGAGCAAAATAATTCCTTTTATAGAAAGGAAATAATCTTTACAAAATTGTCCCTCCACTAGAGGCTGGCAGACATGCAGAGTTTCTTTTGTGAGTTTGTCAATATTGAAAAACTATTTTATAAGCTGGGGAAGAAAAATTAAGCATCTCAGTGGCTGGGAGTGTGTGAGTACTTCGGGTTAAAGAAAAACTTGTAACTGCTATTGTATCAGTCTATTCACATTTCAAAAGCTTTTTCATATCAGATATGGGTGCTAATGCTTACATTACAAGTCAAACATTGTGAATTAGAGGTGACTTTGCATAGCTAAAGTCTAAATTCTCTGGTGCTGCTGGACAGGAATTAGTAATGATTCTATCAGTTGAAAATAACTTCCAACTGCATGAAAGTATACACCCCTTCAGACTTTTGAGCATGGTCCTAGTGTTTTAAGAAAACAAAGTTTAGGTAATGATTGTTCGGTTTTTATTTGTGGGGGGGGGGGAAGGGTGTCTGGTTTTTTTGTTGGTTTTTATTTTTCCAATTGCATTCTCCCTGATACTTTAAAAGGTATTGTCTAATTTAGATCTAATATTACATGAGAGCACAACTATTAAAGATACCAAGTTTCTGAGTGTTTTGTGAGACAGTATCTGGAAAGAGTAATCACTGTTAATGTCCCAGAGAGGGAAATGTGTTCACTTCGCTTTTACCCTTTCAAGGGACAACAGTCAGCTTGCCAACATGTACACATGTAATTAAGACTTAACTGCAGTCCAGCCTCTTGCCCATCTCAAATAGGTAGGGAAGGACTAAACAAAGGAAGGCTGATGGTTGTGAAAGAAGGTGACTCATGGCATTCAGTGGCTAGCGTACAAATTCAAAGGAAATCTGGCTTCATGAATCCTGTAGCTCTTGGAAAAATTTATTCAAACTTGGGATCTCCGGAGGCTGGAAACACTGCAGTGCTTTGACTTCCTACAAGATGCTCACACAAAGGTATTAATGCTGATACACTGCTTAACAAAACAGAGTAGAAGCTCATGAAGAGCTCTTTCCCTTGAACACAGAAGCATTTCATCTGTGAGATATGGAGTTGTGCAAATGAGGTGGGAAATCATGTTGGTTTTGGTTTTTTTTCCCTGAGGAACAGGATTTTGTTGAAGGAATACTTAGGTGTTCCATTATTCTTATAATAAAAATACATTACAGCATCCTGATATTTGACTCTAAGTGAAAGAGGCCAACATCTCTAATGTCAATATATTACACTAGGCTACTAAAATGCACAGAATCATGGTTTTGACTTTTCAAGCCTTAAATATCTAAGTTTAGGTATCTTTTTCACAAATTAAAGAGTTGCAATTAAGTTAATGAAAAATTTGTTACTCAAGATGAACAGGAATATTGTTACACAGGCAAAGCCATATACCCAGAGGATTACAGCACACCATTCCAATGGCCAGGGTGCAATTTAGAGAGGCTTTTTTCTCAAAAGCAAGACAACCCCCTTAGGAAGGAAACTGTGAAGATAAATATGAAAAGGTCAGAAGCAGTGAAACACTTTTAAAAAAATCTTTTAAATTTCTTGTTTCCCTTTGAAGGACCATGTGGGCAAATAGCTCTTCAGTACATGCACCTCAGAGGGGTTGGGTTTAAGATTTATGCTAGCTACATAGAGTTGGGAAATACTTAGTGAAATTCTAAGTAATTTTGACTCACTTTTAATCATGTACCTTAATGTGGCGTAAATATTAGTAAGCCAAAAGTTCCAGAAACTTGGATATCTGTGGGTGTAGGCAGGAATCCAAAACATAATCTATCCATTTGAAATGTGAACTGTCGAATCAGGCTAGAATTGAAGAGTTTGTGCTCTCTTTGATATATCAAAAAAATGCTCATATGTTTTTTGAAGTATGTGGCAACAGCTGAAATATTTGGAAATCATAAATAAACTATGAGAAGTTAATTGATGGTATGAAGGTGACCCAGTTGCTTCCACTACTTTGAGTATCCTATGGGCCTTGTAGAGATAGTAACAAGAACGGGAAAAAAAGTTCTGCCGCATTTAATTCTCTATACTACTGTAAAACTTCAGTTAAACTTAGTTATGATGGTCTTCTCACATCTGGACAAAAGTGTTTTAAAAGCTCTTTCTTTAAATGTGAAGAATTTGGTACAGTAATAGCAGCCTGGAATGCAGCAGAACCTAACCTCTCCCTAACTAATCCTGCTGTTTTCTGACCTTGTCCTTCATGCATATTCAAAGGCAGGGAAGTCACATGCCTCAAAGTCAAGCCTTTTCAAGATCATGGCTTTTCCTGCGCACAGAACGTGCCCTTCCTGCCTGGTATGATCTGCACAAGGAGGTTCTCTGTAGAAGCCATTATTATCTTAGTTAACACCACTCCCTCATGTTTTTTAATATTGTAGTGATGTCTTACTCTGTTTATTTTTTTAAGCTCTTTCTTCAGTTAAAGATCTAAAAATTATCAGGAAAGCAAGCAAATTCTCCAAAGAAAAGATGTCTTTTGAAGATTGTCAAAATGTGGAAACGTCCTTAGAATTAATGAAACCTAGAAAACAAAGCACATAAATTAAAGTATCATTGTCAGATTTTAGAAAGCTAAAATGTACTGTGCTATAATAAAATAAATAATTGTACTACTAGCTATTACCTAACATTGCTAATCTTCAGATCTCATTTACAGAGATGGGAGAATATGAGATGCTTTGGGGTAGACCACATAGGCAGGCAGACAACAGACTCCCTCACTGATGCCCTGCCAACTAAATCCCACTGCCCTTGTACTTCTACCATTAACTAGTCACGCATTTAAACACTTGGGTTCTGTTATTTATGTAACAGGTATGTAAATGGTGACAACTCTTACCATTTTACGAAAAGTCTCAAATAGATAAATATTGCCAATATTAAAAACTCCAGCTGTTGCAGTCAGACTCTTAGCTCATAGAAGTGGATTTCCTCAATGCAAAACTGAGCACCAAGGACTATTTAAAAATGTCCAAGCAAAGAGATACTGGACATCATGAGTCATAAATGATACTACAGCAGGTCTACTGGAAAGTCCAAGAATTCTCTATCTCATGCTTGTAAACCAATGTTGGAGTTTTAGGAGAAACTTTGGGCTTTTTGAATGTTTGCAATTCAGCCCTCAGCAGCATAGTTGATAAGGCACCTCAACAACCCTGGCTGTTGTTGCAGACCTCACTGATGATGTTTTGCCTGGGACTGGGACAAATGTTGTCTCTTGAGGCCATTTCTGCCTTTGCTGTAGGAGCAGTGTGGGTTTGACCATCCTATGTAACGCAGAAGAAACGAGGATGCCCCAGATTGTCATGCTGGACCCAGCCATGGCTGATGGTTGAGTCTTGACGCCAGTGCTACAGCTGACAGTGCAGGCAGTGAGAAGCAACTCTGGGCAGGAGCTCAGGGTGAGAAGTTGCAGCACTTTGAGGACCAGTGTGGAAAAAGGAACTATGAAACAGATCATTGCCGGTTGCACAACTGAGAGTTGAGTAAAGGTTTGGAGTCGCTGCCGTGGTGAATACGGTCCCCACCTGAATTTCGTTTCCTTGTTGCTAGCAGGATTCCCCCTTACACTGCAGTGTCTCTGTCAGCCAGAGCAGCTGTGTGAGGCGATATGTTCACATTTTACTTATAAACAGTTAAAGTAAATTTTCCTACACCAGTTACTGTTGCCGAGTTGCGCAGAGAACCCTGCAGCGGGCCGTGCGATGTCCCCCTCCTGCTCCTGCTCCCCATCCCGGGCCTTTGGAGCCCAGGCCCGCGCCCCAGAGGTGCGCTGGGCAGCGCCGCCGTGACGTCAGGGCGCGGTTGCCATGGGGACGCATGGGGCCGCACCTGACGGCTGTCGTGAAGCCGCGGGCGGAGGGCGAGGGGAGGCAGCGGGGGTAGCGCAGGCTCGGCCCGGCCCCGAACTCGGCTGCGCGCCGTGCCCTGCCCTCCGTGTCGTGCCCTCCGCCCTCGCCGCGCCGCAGCCGGAGTCTGAAGGAGGAGGCGGCGTTGCCGCCGCTGGATATGTAGGGGCCCCGGAGCGGGCGGATCCGGAGGCCGCTGTCTGCCTCTGGAGCGCGGGGCCGGGGCCGGGCTCGGGCCCGGCGGGATGTTCTCCAAGAAGCCGCACGGCGACGTGCGGAAATCCACGCAGAAGGTGCTGGACACCCGCAAGGACCCGCTCACCCGGCTCAAGCACTTGCGTGTCCTCATCGGTGAGGCGGCCGGGAGGGGGAAGGGAGCGGCTCAGCGGGGTCCGCGGGACTCGGCGCAGGGGGGACCGGGAACGGGCAGGGACCGGGCTCTGGGCCGGGAGGCGGGCCCGGGGCTCCGCTCCGGCTGGAGACCCCACCCGGCGGCCGGGTGCAGACCCCGAGCCCGGCACAGCGGGGCCTTCGAGATGTGCCGGGGGCCCGGGATGCTCTGCTTCCGCTGTTCCACCGAGATACGGACGTTTTCACCCTGTCTGAAGGTGGAATTCCTTTGGCAGCTGTGGAAGGAGGCGAAAAAATGCTGTGCTTACACTGTGAATTATTCTCTAAAATACATAACTGCTGGTGCGCATGAATAGAAGCGGCTGTTGAGCGCAAATGGTGCTGTGACTCCTTAATCCATTTCCCCTGCATTCTTGCAGTAACAATTTTATGTTTGTGTACGTTTTCAAGGTAAGAGCTACAGCAGTAAGTGCTCACTCGAGTTGATGTGGAGGAGCATCCATACAGGCAGCCTGAAAACACAGTTGGTCAAGGAGGGCAGGCAAATCCTTAAGTACCACTGCAGTTCAATGGGAACAGCCACTGAACCTGACCAGTGAATTGGCAATTGTGATTATATGGAATAATTTCCTAAAAAAATTGTGGAAAAAAGCTCCTAGAGTTAAGCATTACAAAATATCTGTTAGCTGCATGTGTTTGTAAAAATTAAGGTAATTGTCATCAAGCTGCCCTTGAAAAAAGAAGTTTGCTCCAGAGTGTCTTTTGGGCCCTTCAGTTCTGTAAATCCCTGTGTTTCTTCTGACAGTTTAACAACGCTTGAGCAGGGTTGGGTCAAGGGCAACTGCATTCTGTGTTTAGCACAGAATGCTGAATGGATTATTTTGGGTTCTGTCCACAGTCTGGTGATATTTATGTACCTTGTCCTCTGAAGCTAGATTCTTTCCTTTCAAAGGAAAATGGCTATTGCTCCCATTTTATATTGGTGTTTGAAGGAGCAGGTGTTCCCATGTTGCACCATCTGCTGCTGCATGAATTATTTTCTGCAACGTAGTAATTATCTAGACTTGAAATGGAGACTAGTTTTGTAGCTAGCTATCTAAGAGCTTGGGTAGTCAGATATCTCCTCTTGCCTCACTCAGAATGCACCACTCTTCCTAACAAGCTGTACTGAGCCAGTGGTGGCTTGCTCTATGTTGATTTTTAGCTGCTTTATCAGTTGAATTTTAAGAGAAAAAAACATCCTAAAGAAAGTAAGTACCTCTCTGAATTTAGGTTTCCCAGCTAAAGTATGTTGGAATATTTCTAGTTTTGCTTTAGTTTACAAAAGACTCTGAATGATTTTGATCTGATCTGTTCTAGGTTGGATGTTTGTTGCTTGCAGTTTATTTTTATGTTTTTTCTTATTATATTATTATTAATAATTGAATACATTCTGTAAGATGAAAGCCATGAGCTCGGTGTCAGGCAGACATTCTTATCTAATCTCAGGTTTCTGTTTACTGCCTGTAAGACAGACTAAATCTGCTGGGGATGTTTTCATATGATGCCCCACCCTCCATGTCTATCTCAGCTGTTGAAGCCCAGCTCCTATAATATCCTTTCTCCAAGTTTGGGAGAATACTGTTTGACTGTGCAAGTAGGGAAAGGTGTAACAATACTCTTCAGTTTGTTTGTTTTGGATACATCTACAAGATTTTGTTATTATGCAAATATTCTTGGGTGCATGAGGTACAAAAACAAGTTCTTTTTTAGGGTGGGGGAATATTTCTATGCGCATTCCTACTGTAGTGCAAGACAAGTGTGTAGCAGATTATTTGAAGTGTGTCTTTGCTGTGATCACCTCCTTGCCTTTTTCCTTGAATTTCTCTACTGCCTAAAGTGGCTTCCAAAACATAAGCTCTATGTCCTTTCTTCTCCAATTGTTTCTTTGACTACTCTGCAGGACCAGATTAAAAAAATTAAGTTTTTTTAGAAGATAGAACTTCTACCTGAGGTGGCTTCTTATGCAGGCACCATCCTGCAGCTTGAGCAGCATAGTGCTGTGTATCATTTTTTCCTCAGTGACAACTGCCCTAGCATAATAATTGCCATGTTTCCATGTATTCAAGGGAGCCAGGTTAGCTATTGGTAACAGACTATCTGAGGGGATGAGAGAGGAAGTCTCAGTTCAGCGTCTTCATGAATAAAAAATAATTTTTGTTTATCGCTGTTAGCTGTTAGCCCCTGCACACAGACTAAAAGAGTATCCAGAAGAGAATTGTCTGCAGTTTCACATCCAGGAGAAGGAGAGAATTTTCTCTTCTTCTTTAATTTACAATCCTTTCAGTAGGCCTGCAAGGTGTATCAGACCAGAGTTTTTTTTTTTCTTGCTGCACTTTTTAGTCCTTGGTTCAGCAGTAATAAACAGACATGGCCTTGGATTCATGGTTAAGATTTGAGAGGAGGAAAGGGAGTATTAGTTGATTTTCCCTCTATTTTATCCAGACATCCAAAACAGCCGTTCTCCACTATGCCAAAATAATGAAATAGTTATGAAAAGAGGTGAGTGCTTGTGAATTCTAGACTGCTGGCTATCTGTTCGCCAAAGAGGAGAAATCTAAAAAATTTAATTATGGTAAAAGATTGAGAATCACATCCTGCAAGGTGATGGTGCTAGTCATAACCAAAAACATTTACAATAATATAGTGACATTGTTAGTAAGGACCAGAAGAGACCGAACAATACCAAAGTACCTAATATGAAGCTAAGTGAATAGAACCAAGGCTGTGACATTTATTTTTAACAAATTAAAAGTGGTGTACATTAAATGGATTTTTTTAAATTCCATCTTTTACAAGATATCTTAACGTGCAGTGAGTTGTATTCCTCTAGGAAAACGTATCCTGTAATGGTGACAACTTAGTTTAAATTTTGTAAAAGATACAAATTAGCCTGCATAAGGATATATAGAAAATTTTGTGTCTTCATAAAGCAGTGGTGTACCATTATACCAAATATAATTGCAGCTTTAGGAGTCTTCTTGCTACAGTCAGTGTTTGAAAGATTTAGGTATGAGAATGACTCAGGTGAGAGCAAAACTTTAATGTGGAAAGATATTGAAAGTTTTAAAATCCCTTTCTATAGGGACAGATTGTGAAAAAGATGTAAACATGTATGAAAAAGACTAGGAAAACCCAATTTGAAATGATGAGTTAGAGTAAAATATTTTTGTCTTGGGAAGCTCTTGAATGCTAGGCTAACAATCAGTTACAGGCGTACTGGGTGAAAATATGGTTTGGGGGTTTTTTTTCTGTTTTTTTTTTTTCCTGAAACTATTTTGTAGATAACTGCTCTTTGCCACTTCAGTGTCCTTTTTCTGTTTAGTTCTCTGATCTGCTTCAGTTTGGCTCTATTAAGCTTTTTTTTTGTAATTCAGGAAGCAAAGAAAATTCTGTGATATCTGGATGACTAATTCAGAATTAATTATATCATTTGTTAAAGTAAATATAATATGTGACAAATTTATGCAAGTCACAGGTGCACGTTTTTTTAGTAGAGGTTAAAGCCTTTAACAGACCTCCAAGTAATATTATTATTGCTAAGAAACACTACGAAAAATTGGAAAGAGATTGAAGTCTCATATCTTGGGACTTAGCAGTCTGTGAATGAAGGTAATCTGCTTTTCATTGTTATCCTGCTGAAGTATATTTCTCGGAACAACTGGAATTATCTATTTTAATAGATTTTATTCTTTTGAGATATATTGGTTTCCTCCCATAGGGAAGTGTTTACCCCACCCCACTCCTTTTGTTTTTTTTTTTTTTTTTTTTTCTTCTCAGTTCTGAGAAGTACTTTTGAATCTCATACAGTTCCATGATGCTGACTTGGTCAGTGTGTGACTTTGTATCAAACTGTGCTACTGTCTTGTTTCTGTACCGTGGAAATACTCTTAAGAGTTGTGTTTACTGTGTGTGCCTCTGATAGAGTATATAGACCTTGAGCGAGATTGTTGAACGGGATTCCCTTGCCGTCTCTATGGCAGGGCCTCAGCCTCTTCAGACGGGAGGCCTTGCTGTAAGGAAGGCTGCCAGCTGCAGTTAGTGCAGGTGATCACTGAAAACTCTCCTGCAGATGAAAGGCGAGGCACATTGTGCACCTTAGTGAATAAGGTATTGCCTGCAGAATGAAACCTGTAATTTTCCAGAAAATATATATATTTTTAGCAGTCCCCAGTCAATTAGTAGCTAATTGCAATTTTGGGGATCATTAGGAAGAAATAATGTGGAAATAATATTGCATTGTTCTTATAATGCAGCACTGATTAATGAGATTTCAACATCAAACTAAAATTTTGATTTTAAAATGGTAGTTTATAAAAGTTAGTTTTAGTAATCTTTCAAACATCAAATCTTACTTGATATCTCCTTTTGTTAAAACACTGCTTTGAGCATTTTGTAAATAATTAAGGCAATTAGGTATGTGACCCTTTTCCTAAGGTCTTACCTTAATTATTGACTTTTTGTTTTGATATCAAATATGTTGTTGGTGCTACCTGTTGAATTTGAGTTTGTCAGAATGTCTAAATATACACATTAAAAAAAAAAAAAAAAAAAAAAAAAAAAAAAAAAAACAACTAATACCTCTGAATATTTAATGATTCCTATGTAATCTTACCATGTGCAAGTAAGTCAAATGAACATACTTGGTTTAAAATTTGCTTATAGAGCTGAATTCTTAAGATAATGATTTTCTTGTTGGGTTGGATTCTTCCCCCCTGCTTTCACATTTTTGTAGAGGGGAAATTACGGGCCTGTAATCTGTTAATCCAGAGCAAAGAAAAAAAAGAAATATATTGCTTCTTGTAAATTACTTTATTTGCATCTGATATCTCAGAACTATACTGCTTTTATCTCTGGAACCATGGAGAGAATACTTGTAAAATGTAACACAAAAAGTACTGAGTATCTCAAGTGTGGGGTTTTTTTTTATTTTATTTTCTTATTTTTGGTGGTTGAGTAGT